AATTATATATTTGAAAAATATTATCATTATTGTAGATTTATAAAAAGATATAATGTGATTAAAAAATAAAAAATATTTTTAAAAAAAATATGCTAACCCGCAGGCTAACCCGTTTTAATCCGCTAATTTTGCAGATTGGGCTGACCCAACCCGTTTTAAAAAATGGGCTAATTTGTTCAACCCAATCCATCAAATTTTGCTAGTTAAACGGGCTAGCCTGCAGACTCAATCCATTTGCTCGACTCTACTCAAGCAAAAGATTCAAGCGAGCAAATGAATTTATAGGCTGTCGAGGGGACATTTTTACTTAGGAGTTGTTTTCAACAGTAAAAACACCCCCACATGGCATGGGGGTTCCATACAAACGACCTCTATAGGGGTGTCTCTTATAACGCCCCCTTAGAGGGTGTTTTTTTTTCAAGAAATGCCCCCTATAGGGCCGTTTAGAAAAAAACACACCCTAAGGGGGCATTTCAGATTGAAAACATTTTCTTAGAGCGCGTTTTCATGACATTTTGTTGAAGTACCTCTAAAACACAAATTTTTTGTAGTGCATAATGTCCAAGAGCTAGTCTTCATGGGATGAGCCTAAGTCAAGTTTTCAAGCAAGACATTGATTTGTCGCCAGTTTCATCAAAAAAAAGGGACTAATTTTTGATCTAGCCACTATGGAATGCATCCATCAACAAGGAAATATTGCACAATTTTAAAGTTTGAACTATAGATGGAGATGTGCATTTTTCACTCTCAGTTGGGATTTTCATTAAATATCATTCACTTGCACTTGTTCTAAGTATGTGTCGTATTTCTCAGGCTGACAATAGGAAAAACAAGTGTAGAAGCATAGAAAGTTTTTGGAATTCTCCGTTTGTTTTTGGAGGAACGAATAAAAACACATCATCACTTTCATACCTAACGAAAAAGGAATGTAATCAATTTTTCAGCTAGCATTCGTACATTCAAACTAACGAGTCTCAAGTTTAATCTATAAGACCTTCACAAATAATGAGCATATGGTTCAGAATTATTGAAGGTGGATGAGAGGAATGGCATATGAGAAGCAGAAATGGGATTGAGGGAAGTAGACAGAAGGTAAAGTGTCAGGAAATTAAAATTGAAAGGAGAAGAGGCTTGAATAAGTGGCAAATCAGAGGAGGAGGAAGTAAATAATGAATCATGAAAAGGGAAACAATAACTCATTAAACTAAATATCCCTAGCTAGAAATAAGAATTTGATAGGTTTTGATGTCTAAGAGCTAAGGATTGACCTTTTGTTCAATGTTTGTAACCAAGAAATAAGTTGATGAGCATATGAATCAAGTTTAGTTCGACCAATAGGACTAAAAGAAGCATAGCAAAGTGAACCAAATTGGGCCAACATGCATATCCAAAAATTTTTGAGAAATTATAATCAGGATTATGAGTAAATATGAGTTGATAAGGTGATTTATAATGAAGAGAAGGAGAAGAACGACGATTTGTTAAATATGTTGCAGAAGAAAAATACATGAACCCAGAATTGCTTTAGAAGAGAGGCATGATGGAGAAGAGAGAAACCAAATTCTACTTTATGCCTGTGTTTTCATTCAATAGTCCCATTTTTTAGCATGAAATATGGACAAGTGATACAATGGATAATATCGTGAGATTGAAGATGATATAAGAAACAACATCAAAGAAAGATGACCTGGATTGAGATGCTTTAGATTACACCGCTCAGTACAGATTACCAACCGGATCTCGAAACAACCGATTCTATAAGCAACCTTGCTCAAACATGGTATACGCTTGCTATTGCCAATGAAGAAGGTGCCATCTGTCTCAAAACTCTAACAGCAGTATGGCAGTTAGTCGTAGACTAAGTCTTGTTTCAGGAGCGAGTAAAGTCGAGCGGTGAAAGTTAAGTAGTTCTGGTTAGGCTTAGTCACTTGTATTTGTTTCTGGTTGGTGATTCCTTCTTTCGTCACATGTCTTTTTGTTACTACTCATTCTTTCCTTTCTGGCTCCACTACTCTGCTTTGACGGCTGAATCTATCCTCTCCTTCCACCCTCCACTCCCCTCCCAGAGAGAAGTGACCCTTCCCGTGAAATCAGGGTAAGCTATTTGTCAAATACAAATCTTTCTCAACTCATAGCTTTAGGCAAGCTTTTGATACTGGACATTCTTGCTTGCACTCGTTTTTGGTTTTTCTAATCCTTTTCTTATTATGTAATTGTTGGATCCCAATCCCAATTCTAACTGGGGGTAGCTAAAATGGTTAAGTAGAGCAGAACGAAAGACCCTTTAGCATGTGACCCGAAGTCCTCAAGTCCAAAGGTGATAAGCAGTGGAGTGGTCCTTAAGACTGAAATTCCCCACCCCATAGTTTGAAGAAATTTTATTTTGGTATTAAACAAATTTTCAGCTTGTTTTTTAAAATAAAATAAAGGCATGAAGGACATCATATTTGAGATGCAAGGGATAAAACAGGGTAAATTTGGTATTAAAGAAACATAATATTGATATCCATTAATAGATAAAAGAGGAGCATGGCCCCAAACATCACTAAAAACAAGAAAAAGAGGATAAGGAGAATGATTGGGGGGAGGGAGTGGGGAGACGTATTATCATGAGTGAGTTTAATAGAGATGAAATGAGACGGGGAGGAAGAAAAAATAGTAAGAGAAGAAGAAGAAGAATGGAGATCGCAGAGGATGTGCTTGAATAACCCCTATTTGGGGAAGGTGAATGTGTCATGGAGGTGATTTTACGGCTCTGATATATACCATAATAGCATATAGGAACCATAAAATTTCCAGAACATTATGTATATTCGTTGTCAATTGTTCAGAGCCGTGCAGAGATATTTATACATGAAAGAATTGTGAACCCTACACGAACATTTATGTTGAACCAAGAAAGAGGACTGCTTGAAGAAACACTGATAAATGATGCTATAGAGAGAATGGCAGGTTCCAGTATCTCATGTACTACGTACACACCACTAACCAAGCAGCGGATCATGTTCCTTTGGATATATACTCCCTCCCTCCAGTCCTTATTACGGTTCGAAATAAAGTTTCAAGTTCAAAAATGGCCTAAACATGCACCCCATCCCCCCTCCTCATATGGCTTCTGAAAAGTGAAAAGTTACCATTCACTTCACCTTACTTGCAGATCTGAGTTCAGATTTGGGACTTCTTACTGTAGAAGACGTAATTCGATCAATCAACCCTAAAAGCCAGAAAAAGGCACCAAATGCTTCAAATTGGAACAATATTTCGCATACAATATTTAAAAATCTAAAGCACTTTTGATCCACATACAGCGAATGAAACCCATTAAGAATCAAATCTTTGAGTTGTGTGAACTATATCTCCTTCAAATAGATCCATTAGACACACATGGGCTTAAGTGCTGGATGTGTTTTGTTGAAAACATTATAAAGAAAATTAGCATGATCTTTTTCTTTGTCAAAAAAAAACTCTTGTGTTGGCAAAATTTTCTCCTATTAGTATCATATAGAAATATAATAAGAAATTAGAGCTGGCAATTAAAACCGAGATTTAAAAGGGCTGAGCCCAAAAAACCCAAAATTACTTTAGGGCTCTTGATTTTGAAGTCCGGCCCTAGCTCTTAAGGTTGTAGGGCCAGCCTTATGGGCCTCAGCCCTAATATTTTTTTTCTTTTTTTAATTTAAAAGCCTAATAAATACACTTATAATTTCAAAATAAAAAGTATTACACATAAAATTAAGTCTAAAAAATAAATTTAAGTAAATCGACAACAAATCTATAAAGTTTAAACATTTAAATTTGATATCATAACAACGTTATCAAAATCATGTGACCAATTATGAGTATAAACAATTAGCTTAATATTATTTGAAAGAAGAGAACTTCAATTTTTTTTTTTTTTGCCAAAACATGTGAACCAATACTAAAAATTGATTCACTAGCCATAGTAGTGATTCAAATTAAATACTAAGAATATCAACAGTTATCCTTGAAAGAATTGAAAATTGAGTTTAATTGTTCTTTCACCAATCAAAAATCTAATTCTTTCAAATTATGAAACTTAATATTGGTTTATCAAAATAATTCTCTAATTTAGACTTGTTCATAAAAAAATCATACATACTCATACAATTATCTTGATAATCCTACATTATAATTTGTAAATGATTAAAAAAAACACTTAAATATTAATAAAATAAAATAAGATTCAAAAATAACAAATTTAATTGATGAAGTATTTAAAATACACATAAAATGCATTATTAAAAGTGATTGTTGTTGTTGATAAGAGACTTGAAGTATGATAAGCACTTGATGTTTTCTAATTTTTGGTTAAATTTTAAAAAAATAATCGGGGTTAAAAGGCAGCCTTTTTGTTTGTAAGCCTATTATGGCCAGCTCTTTTAAGCCAAAAACTCATTTATACCCTCTAATTCAGCAGCCTAGCCCTAATTATTTCAAGGCTTAAACAAGCTTGGTTTATTTTTTCAGCTCTATATGGGATTAGAAGAAATGAGCTTGCAGTTGCAACATTATAATTATCATAAACTACATAATATAAATTCATCATTTCATTAACCAAAGGATGAAAGAAGATGTCAAAAAAAGGAGGATGAGAGAAAGAGTATCACAATAGAATAAGTAATTTGGGTCAATTCGAATAAACGTGAAAAATTTTAGACCTAGACTTGAGAGTTTAAAAAAATTTCTTTATTTAGACTTCCTAATTTAGACTTCCTAAATAAACTCAAAGAAATCCAAACCAAACCTAAACTTGAATAAGTTTAGCTCGAATACCCGAATTCTTTTTTATTATTAATAAAATAAAATTAAAATAAGATAAAAATAAAAAAAATTAAGATTAAAATTGAAATTCACTAAAAAAATTAAAATAATATTTAATAATTTGAGTAATAAGTTCAGCCTGAAAACTTGATATGTTAGGGTTGAACTTCTTCATATGGGCTTTTTTTACTTATGTTTCTGGGCATTTTAAGCCTGACTTATTCAAATTACCATGTCTATAAAATAGAGCCTTCCACCTCTCGCCTTCAAGTATCTAGAACAGGAATCCAGGATGTTCCTTTCTCTACTTTCCTTAACAAATAATAAAAAGTAAAAAAATTCAAAAGTCAAAAGTAAAAGTCATGAAGCCTTCGACCTCTCACCTTCACTTGTCATCAAAGCAAAGCCTTGCGGGGAACAACCATCATAGTATACTTAGAATAAGAACAAGCAAATCCTATTCGTCCAAAAAAAGGAGGGGGAGATCAGAGAGAAAGAGCGCACGTGAATCCTATACTGTGACAACCCCAATTAACTAAAAGCTTTACAAACAATACCTTTTTGTATATGCTTTAACTTTACTCAGTGATGCTCAGCTCATTAGTTTCTCAGCATATATAAGATAGATTGAAGTCTTCTTCACATTATACCTATGTGCAAATTCAACTTTAACTTTCATCTCATCTCCAGGCTCCAAATTAGATGCTATGTTTTGCCATTCTTTATCCGTAAAAGTTGTTCCAGCATCCTGCTTGTAGAAATCCATAGTAGCTTTGGTGAAATTCTTTATCATAAGACCAATGGGATATACAGATGTCATGCTAACTTGAAAAGATGAATAGATGATGTAGAGGACCACTCCTTTTAAGCGACGGCCAACAACTTGAGGAACTCTAAATGATACTGAAGGTCCTTCACTTACAAAAACTAGCCAATCTGGATAATTGTCTATTGGAATAGACAAATCAACCCCACCATCATGCCATCCCTATTTGAAAAAAGACGAATCCCATTTAATTGATAACACGGGAAATATAGATGATATTTAACATTAGGCATGCATGTTTGATAATGTGGTGAAAGGTTAATAATTTAAGCACACAAAAACATGACATTGTTGAAAGTGTAGTATGTACGTTATTACTCACAGATATGAAAAAGATAAATCGCACTGTATTGTACATTCAAGTTTCAGAACCGAGCTTTTGCCATGACTTAATAACCATTTAACATTTATGACAAAGATGCTCTTCAAATGTTTAGAAAGCTTTGCAATCATGGTAGTAGAGAGAGAAAGAGAATAACCTGTGAAATACTCTTTAAAAGTGTATCAGCAACTTTGTTGAAACTGCCAACATGAATTGTCAGAGTACTCGTAAATGTTTCTAATCTTTTAATGGGAACTTGTTCATGAAATTCAATTAATGTTGGAGATTTTCGACATGAAGCTTCATCTGTGCTTGGCCTTGGTTCCACACTTTCATTGCTTTTAACAAATAAAGGATGTGACATGCTCCTAATTAGAGATGGTAAAATCTGAAATGTTTGGAATAAGGACCTTGAACGATGAGTTGGTGACATCCAAGACAGAACAAGAGATGGAAATACATCACGAGATAATCCTTCATAGCCACATAGAGACACATATTTAATGCTTTTCAGTCTCACTAATGAGAATGGAACTTGTACTATAGCAGTTTGATTTGCCACCAAAGTTGACAAAGATTCCATTTGCTCAATGTCTTCTTCTAACTTTTCAATTTTTGAGCAACCACAAAGATTAAGGGTCTTCAAGGATTTCAACTTATATACACTTCTTGGGAGGTTTTTGAGGCTTTTGCAATCCTTCAGATTTAACAGAATAATATATTTAAGATCACCAATTGAAGGATGAATTATAGACAAACGTGGACAATCTTTGAGTATTAACTTTTCAAGATATGGTAACTTTGTAAATTTTGGTGTCGCCGTCAAGTAATGAGAATGACTCAGAATGAGAATTTTCAACCTCTCCAACAACTATACAAAGAGAATATTTTAATTAGTTTGATGATAAAGGAAATTAAAAGAATAAAATAAATGTAAAAAATAAAACTAATGTCAGCATTGTTTAACACCAAAAAATATAATGGTGAATACCTGGTATTTCTCCCATACTTTTTTTAGACTGCTCCACTTTAAGTCAATGGCAACTATTTCTTTTAGACATAAGTTGATTGGCATGTTCTCTAAGGGAAATCCATGCCAACAAAGCCATCTCAATTTTGTTGATAGATAATTATAGTCTCCAGTAAGTTGTGCATGATTAAGTTGTAGCAAACGAAGCCTCTTCATCCCCTTAAATGCTTTTGCACTCAAAGAAACTGAATTATTATTTGACTTATTCAAAGCTAGTCCCTTGATAGCCATCGTTCCCTGTTAAACAAAGGGAAACTAACATCAGATTCATTAAAATTTATATCATGCAAATATGCAATATGTGATAAAAGTTTGAACCTATTTGGAAACTAAAAGATACTAAGAGCATATCAAATCATGAAAAAACAGGTATTGAATTTTAAACAAAAAAACTTTGGGAAAAAAATGCAATTTAGTCATCAAGAGACATTCTTACAGTGGTATTTGTCAACACATCCATTACATCATCATAAAACCATAATCTCGTACGGTTCTCAGGCTCCTCTGGTGATTGCTCACGAATTATTTCCCTTCCCATGTCACGTAATAAGTCATGCATATCAAGTTTGTTTTTGTTGCCAACCTTTACAAGACTCAACTCTATCAAACGATTAATTCCAATTTCCGCATGAAATCCACAACCATTTAATATTTGTGTAGCATAACTTTTGTCCTTGCCAACCAAAAAACAACATATATCAAGGAACACATCCTTCTCTATATGGTCACTCAAACCATCATAACTTATTTTCAGTTTTTCTTGTATTTGATCGTTTGGAATTCGTTGTAATTTTTCCAAAACTATTTTCCAAATAAGTATCTCTCTATCAAACAGGTAGGAGCCAAGAATTTCAAGAGCTAGTGGCAAACCTCCAGAATAAGAAACTACCCTTCTTGAAAGTTCAATGAAGTCTTCTTGTTCAGGGATCGCTTGCTTAAATGCATGCCAACTGAAAAGTTCAAGAGATTCATTATCATCCAACTCTTTCATGTTGTAGACATGAAATACTCTAAGGATCTTAAGCAAACGTTGATCTCTAGTTGTAATGATTACTCTACTACCTTGGCCAAACCATTCTCGACTTCCACATAATGCTTTAAGTTGGTCTTCATTGTTCACATCATCAAGTACAACAAGTACTCTTTTCTTACAAAGCATTTCCTCCAGTAGGGTTTTCCCCATTTCTACATTTGGTAAAGCCCACCTTCTTGCTCTTAGAATGTCTGAAAGAAGTTGTTCTTGCAAATAAACTTGGCCATTATGTTGCTTCCATACTTCCCTAACATTTGCAAGGAAACACTTCCCTTCAAAACTTTGACCAACTTGATTGTAGATAGCTTTAGCAATCGTTGTCTTACCAATCCCCCCCATCCCCCAAATCCCTGCAATGATAACATCTTTTGATTTACTTCTTAGCAATTGGAGGATATCTTGCATACGAGACTTCAATCCCACTGGATGATGAGCTACAAATAGGCATTTGTTGTCACCCAACTTCTTTGTAATAGTTTCAATGACTTCATCAATCAGCTCAGTTTCAGTTCTGCATGGCAAAAATAAGAAGTTAGATAAGAATAAGTTATACCAAGAATCCTTAAAATGCATAGAAAAAAATTTATAATAGAAACAAGTATTTTTCCTTTTTATGAAAATTTTTCAATGAAAAATTTGTCATCAAAAGGAGCACAAACATGTTATGAAAAGAAACTTAAGGATAAGAATTTAAGGAATTTGATCGTTCCAATGCACGAGAACCAAATACAGAAAACTAAAAATACCTGTAGTTCTGCATGTCCCATCCGGATAAGTTGGCAACTTCTATGAGGGCTCTCCGTGAATTAATTGTCCATGTCTCCACTTCATTGCTTGAATTTCTCTTGATAAGTCTATCCCATGCTCTTCCAAAAGAATTTGTTTGTTTTCAAACTTCAGATGGTCGCACATCAAAAAATATAGGTAAAACCTCTTGATAAGTTGTTCGGTAACATTCCATGATTTTCTCTAATTCTTGCAAACACCAACTAGAGCCAGCATAATTCTTTGATAGTATAATTATTGAAATTTTGGAACTTTCAATTGCTTGCAGTAGTGAAGATGAAATGTTTTTTCCTCTTTCAATTCGTTCTTCATCCATGTAGATGTCAATACCTGCTTGCTTTATAGCAGAGCAAAGATGAGTAGCAAAGGATTTTCGTGTATCATCACCTCTAAAACTTAAGAATACATCATAACTATATTTGAACAGTGGCTTGTCACGATGGCTTCTTACTATCTCTTGCAGCAAATCATGAACATAAAGCTTGTCATTCATGACCTTTACAAGGTTACGCTCAATGATTACGGGCATTCCCATTTTCACAGGAAATCTTGATCCTTTTAACAACTGTATAACATAGTTTTTGCTCTGACCCACATAAAAACAAGCTATATTAAAGAACAAATCTTTCTCTGAACCAGTTAAAAAATCAATGCTAATGTAGAGCTTTGTTTTTATTTGACCATAAGAAGTCCTACCCAATTCATTCAATACACCTTGCCACTCTTGTAATGTCCTATTATGTAAAAGAGAGCCAATAACTTCATGAAGCAATGGTAGTCCTTCACAAAAAGTAATGATTGTGGATGAAAGATACTCAAAATCATTTGTTGGAGTAGATTTCTTAAATGCATGCCAGTTGAAAAGCTTAATAGACTCATCACTATCTAACCTTTTCATTTCATATGATACATCAACAAAGTTTTTAAAGATATCCTCATTTCTTGCTGTAATGAATATCAAACTCCCTCTACCAAACCACTTGATATTCCCACACAGTTCCATGAGCTGGAATCCACTATCTACGTTATCAAGTACTACTAGGACTCTTTTTCCATGGAGTATTTGCTTCATTTGTTCATGTATCACTAGGACATCACTTTTCTCATCGAGTTCAACTTCAGAAATATCTGAAATAAGCTGCTTTTTAAGAACTCTACCATTACGCTTATCCCATACATCCTTGATATTTGTAAGGAAACTTTTACCCTCAAAATCACCACCAATTTTATCATAAAAAGCTTTCGCAATCGTAGTTTTACCAATACCTCCAACACCCCAGATTCCAACTATGATCGTATCTCCTGAAGCAATATATTTTTGTCGCAAAATATCAAGCAATTCTCTTACACGAAGTCGTAACCCTGCTTGATGGTATTGAAGATCGTGAAACAAGTCTTCATGAAACAAGTATTTGTATAAATTCGCAATAATGTTGCTGATTTTATTCCTGTCACAATTAATCAATTAAAATTATATTTAAAAAACAACAGGAATGTCTCATGATGTTTGTTTTTTTACTACTCATGTATTGTAAACTCTTGTTTCTTAATGTGTGTTTTTCTATTATCTAACCTTAATACTAATAATTGCAAATTAAATGATTATTTTTCGGTTGATCATCATTATTATTTTAAAAAAAATTAAATTTAATATGTTAACATTTGATAAGTTTAATGTAAAAAATTTTTAAGATGAACTTAACTATATTAAAGTTTGCTGGTTAAAAAAAACTATGTTAAAGTTAAAAAAATTAAAAAGATACTTTATAAAATTAAAAAATTAAAATAAAATATTATATAAAATTAAATGACTAAAGGTATATTTTAATTATGAAACTATTATTATAATTTTACATAAAAAAAATATATAAATATATTTAATCTGTTTAAGACTGTAGACTACTATAAAAATATTATAGACTGATTTTTTTCATTCTAGTTCAAATTTTAAAAATTTAAATTTATTTAAATGTTTTTTCTCTAAATTATAATAATAGTTTAATAAAATGTTAAATCAAAACCGTTGAAATTTTGATCCAAGAGCAAGGAAGAGAAAGCGATGGGAAAAGAAGAGGAAAGATAAAGGAGATCAGTTTAGTCTCTCAGAAATTTCACCCAATTAAATATTTTCCTAGTTTAATGGCTTCTTTGAGAAAACATACTATTAAATACTCCCTTCATTTCACCAAAAAAGGGGGGAATACTCCCTTCAATCCTCTACATAAGTCATTTCTTTTTCTTTTTTTTTTTTTTTTTTTGCCATCTACATAAGTCATCCTTTAAAAACAATTGATAGTCACTTTAAAAAAAAATTGATCATTAATTATTTTCATCTAATTTTTACCTTTTAGCAATTTTGTATGAGTATAGCAAAATATATTATTCATAAGGAAAATATTTTTAAAGATATATATTTAATAAGAATAAACTAAAAAATTGCTTTCTTTTCCAAGCAATATCAATAACTTAATTATTTTTTTCAATTTTGATAAAATAATTAGAAGTAAATTAAATTATTTGCAGGATTGGAGGAAGCCAGAGAGTATTGAGCTAAAAGAAAATTAAAAAGGAACAATTATTACCCCAAATCAGACAACAGAGTAAAGCCAGATAACGAAGCAGCTTCAGCGGTGGCTCTTCCTGAATCCAAAAGCGAAGCAGCTTCAGCTGGAAATCCTCCAAAATCCAAATCGAAATCCAAATCCCAAGCATCTAATCTTCTCTGATCCATATCCTCAAACTGCTCACGTACTTGCTCCTCACTCACTCCACAGAACAGAGGCAACACTTCTTTGTTCGTCAGTTTTTGGCACCGCCTTATATTCATCAGTCTCGCCAGAAATACGTCGGATTCAACGAAGTCTGGTGTGAAAACAACCACAACCATTCTGCACTTTACTATCTCATGCATGGAAAACTCCTCCCTCTGATCATCAATCAAAGTTCTGATTCCAACATCTCTTAAGTTTTTTTCGAAGTAGGTTTTCTCATGATGTTTGGGGTGGCTGATAGTTAAGAACACGTCGTAGTCAAAAGTGCTTTCCGAACTAGAGGATGAAGCAGAAGGGAAATAAGACATGTTTAACTGCAAAAGTGCCGATAGCATAAAAGCAAATGATCGATTCCTGAATGAATTTAGGTAGAGGAAAACCCACTTTCTGCTGTCTGTAAGCGAAATTTCCTTGAAATACCCACTTTCTGACTTTGGCTCAAATGACGCGTGGTCAGTGTGGACGTATCCTTCCGGGAAAGAATTTTGTCCGTATACAGAAAGGGACGATGAGAAGAAACGGAGCCACATATTTTGGGTCGCCTGCAGCTTACTTTTGACATAAAAGACCCTGGCAGGCGGCCCTACTTGTTATGCTACTCTGATACTGTTTATAAACATAGAAGTTGAGATGATCATTTGTTTTAGTCATAAGGCATTACTATTGATTTATTTTTATTTTTATATTTTTATTTTCATTAAATATTGAGAATATTATTAAATGTTAGATTATTTTATATTTGAAATATGTATAGAGATAGAGTTAGAAACTTGTTTAATTTCTAGAGAGGGTTAATAATATTTAAGGCTTTTTTATTTTAATAAAAATAATTTATAAATAAGGTGAGAAAAACATAATGTTAATCAGCTGGCTACGATACTTCTTTCCTAGCCACCAATTTTTGAACCCATGCCTTGGAAAAGCAAATGATGAATGAACCATAGAAGCACAAGTCAGCCACTAGCTGGCTACAATAATTCATTACTTCAGTCAATCAATATATATTAACAAATGTTACAGCGGGCCTTTGATGGGTTAGCATATATTCAATGTCATTGGTCAATTTTGCTTTGGTTGAATTTTAATTTTCTCATGCAATTGATTCACTGGATTTATTCTTATATCAAGTGTTCTATCTTCCCCATTTATATTTGGCATTCTCATCAATGGTCTTGTCGTTTCTCATTTCAAATGGGAGCATTAACTTCAACCGTTTCTATAACTTCATTCACGCCTTCCCCTATTCCCAATGATTATTCCAATAATGCCATTTCAATAATCCCTTCATGTTGTGTTTGGATGGGTGGATTTGAAATTTGAATTTAAAATCTCATGTTTAAAATTTATATGGTCTAAATTCTTAGTTTAAATTATATAAAAAATTTTAAATTGTAATATTAAAATTCTTTGTTTGGATGTTAAGTAAAATTTTAAATTTTAAATTCTATGTTTGAATTTCAAAGCAACTCGGACGACGTCGACGATTTGGTCCTAATAAAAGTTGGCAATCTAGATGGTCAACTTTTGGTGCTTACCAAGATCAAACAACAAACTTTCACAAGGACTGTACCACTGGTGACAATTGGGACTAAATAGATGACCTCCACCAAGACCAAATCGTCAGCATCAACGAAGCCTAACAACTAGCGTCGACCAAGACAAGACCATCAACGCCAACTAGGACTAAAATGCAAGTGAAAATTGAGATCAGACGGATGACTTCCACCAAAACCAAACCATCGGGACTGAACGGCCAATATCTATCAAGACTGAACCACCTTGTACTAACACTTCCACTGTGACCTAACCGTCAGTAACAACTGAGACAAGACTGGTGATGATTACTAAGATAGGATCGCTAGCATTGATTGGGATTGGATGGTCACCTACGATCGAAATTAGAGGCTAGATCTCACCAAGATCGGGTTCAATGACTTTGAACTGGACCGAATTGTCGGCATTGACTAGGACAGGACCATCGGCACTAAACCCTCAGCTGTCTGGTATCAATTGAGGTCATCGATCTGATCTTGTCACAGTAGGAGTCAAACCTCAATCAAAAGTAGCTGTCCAGTCTCAATTGGGGCCTACGATCATGTCTTGGTTGCCAATAGTGGTCCCGTCCTAGTCACGTTATCGATCTGGTCCTAGAGAAAGTTGGTCGTCTGGTCTTGATTGTTACTCAAACTCTAGTCCCGATCGACTCCAGTAATTTAGTCCTAATGGAAGTTGGCCGTTCAATCCCATTCATTTCCCCCACTCCAATCCCGGTCAATGCCTGTGGGATCAACATCGATGGTTCGATCCAAGTGAAAGTCGGCTATTTGATCTTGGTCATACATAACCTTGAAATAAAAAAGGTGCTTATAGTGTTGTCCCAGTCAGCATCGACATTTGGTCCCAATAAAAGAGGTGGTCTTATTAAGGGAAAATATCATTACATTTTGGATGGTGGTCTTGCCTTACTTTCTTATGCTTATTTACCCTTGAAATAATGTGAAGATGCCTTTCTTACTACCAGTTATGTTACCAATTTACTACCATCCTCTACTATTCAAAATGTTGTTCCTTTCACTAAACTTTTCTCTATGTATTTGGTTGCACTTGTCATCCCTTGCTTCATCCTTATAATTCCCACAAGTTTGCTTTTCATTATTAGCAATGTGTCTTGTTAGGGTATGGCATGTCTCATCATGGTTATAAATGTCTTGCATCCAATGAAAATATATATATTTCTCATGATGTTTGGTTTGATGAGTCTTCTTTTCCTTGTTCAATTCCAAATGTTGCTTTTCAACCCCCTTCACCTTCTTCCTCCTTAACCATGCCTCTTCCTTCTAACCAAATTCATGTTCCCTCTTTTGATTCATCTTCTCATCTACCTTCTTGGTCACCCTTCATACCTCCACCCTATTACTTTTGCTCCCCCATTTCTTTTTATTCTTCCTCTCCTATCTCTTATCCTTCTTCTACTCCACCTCTTGCTTCTCCTTCTTTATCTTCTATTTCTTCTTCTATCTCTTCTCCCTTACATTCACAAAACACTTACCTAGTGGTTACTCGAGCTAAGGCTGAGGATTAAAAGCAAGGCTGGGGATTTGAAATTATTTGAAATTGCAATGACTCAATTCGTTTTTTTTTTTAATTTCATGATTCAATTAATGAGATATCTAATCTACTTTTTTGGATAGTCGATTTGAGTTTTCTTTTTTCTTTTTCTCCTTTTTTTCTATTCTTGTTCATCAAGTGATTAATTTATATAGGAATCCAAACTCTATTCTAACCATATTTTCTATAACAAATAGGATCAAGGCATATGAGGCAATCTATACTAAATTATTAAATATACTCACGGGATAATAAACACACAAGATAATTAGATTTACTCATCACCCATATTAATAATTTCTTTTAAGTTCACTACGAATAATTATTTGTTTGATCTTGCAGTACTTGAAATGGGCATATTTAGAATTCAGTGATTGTCATACTAGCAAGTAGGTATATGGATTTTTATTGCACATAAAGGACGGCATTATAAGTTGCTCTAGATCGTGTGACTTGTATTGCTGTTTAAAACTTTCTGTCACTGATATTTCTCTTCTTGTGTTTTCCTATTCCAAAGCTTGAGCAAAATGATTATGAGCAAGGGATGAGAGGAACACATTAATATTTTACATGAAGATCCAGTTTTAAACTCAACTTGATATAAAGCAATTCATGTCATAGCTTTCATTTGAGATATTTTATTATAGACATAGTGGAGCATCATATTTGTACAGGTAAATCGAATAACTCAAACCTAACATTTGAGAATACTTTATCAATGTTTCAAATTTTAATTTTGTTAATAAAATTAATGATACTAGAGTTAGAGCATTGCAAAGATACTTTATAAAATTAAAAGATTAAAATAAAAGGAAGAATTTTAAATAAGAATTAGGGATATGACATAATTATGAGTGGGTCTCCAAAATTTTTGAAATTTCAATTCAGTCTAGGGGGATAAAAGTTAAAATAATTTCAATAGTAAAAAGATCAAAATACCCTTCACATGTTATGTAAAATTACTAATTATTAATTTTCTTTCTTTACTTGTTAATTTACTAATATGAGTTGACATATCAATAATTATATAAGACTTAACATTAGTTGTTCAATTATAAACAATAATATCAGTTATTAAATTATTAACTTTACTTCTTAATTTAACAGTATCAGTTGTAAATTACTAATAGGTTTTGTAATTTACTAATATTATATTAGTAAATTAACCAGAAATTGAAGATGAATAATAGACCTTAAGTCTCTAATACTTAAAAAAAAATACAATTCCAAGCAAAATGAAGATGAAAATGAAAACAAAGAAGAAAAAAAGTAGTAAAAAGAATATTAGAATATAAAAAACCCCACATCTAAAGATTAAAAAATAAATTATAAATACGTAAATTCAGAAAGTACCTAACTAAATAACTTAAGTTATTTTATTGGAGTATACTATTCTTAAGCATATTTAATATAAGAAATTTAACATCCTTATTTCTACTTTGTGTTATTGGGAGAGTAGATTGAGTTTGATCAAATTGAAATTTGAGTTTAAGAATAAATACTTTTATAGAAAATTTTAGTATAATTGTTTGGATTACCATTGATGAAGATGAATGTGGGTTTGATTTTTTTCCCCCTTTGAGTTTAAAACTAATTTTGTTGAAAGAATGATATTTGGAACACTTGGTTAATTAAAAAATTGATATTTTGAAAGAAGAATTTTGATCTCTAATGGTAAATAAAGAAGGATTTTGGAAAGGTATTGTTGTTGATTAAATTATGCTTGGAGGCAATTATTCTCTACAGTGAAAGGTTAGGAACGAACCTATATATATATATATATATATATATAGAAGAATAATAAGTACATCTCTATGGATGACAAGTATTATTTTCTTTAAACAGTTAAATTTTAGAAAGCCACATAAGAATTTATTTTACAAAATTATATTTAATTCATAAATATAATTTATTTTTATTCCTTCATTTCAGTAACTAATTAACCCATGATCTAACAATTTCCTAATCTCACGATTTCTCTTTTAGATATAGTTAGTTATTCAATATTCTATTATTTAAATAACTTTCTTGCCTCACAATTTAGTTTTTTATTTTTTAATTCATGCATATAATTAAATTTAAATATGGATAGTTATTTAGATTATTCATCCCAATAACTTTTTAACCCATAATTTAATAATTTCCTAACGACACAATTTCTCTTTTAGATATGGTTAGTTATTCAGTATCTTATCATTCTAATAACCTTCTTGCTCTACTATTTAATCTGTGAATTTTTTAATTCATGCATATAATTAAATTTAAATATGAATAGTTATTTAGATTATTCTATTATTCTAATAACTTCTTAGATCCATGATTCACGTAAAATTTGGCGAGAATGTGTGTGTATGTGTGTGTATAATAGATAAATAAGAAATACTTTTTCAAGTTTGACATGTATGAGTTTTTTTTTAAATATTACAATTCTATGCTATTTACATCATTATTAATTTTTAAAAATATTTTTTTCTAATTTATAAGATTATAATTTGAAAATGTAACTTCTCTCCTACGATCTCAAAATCCCAAATATAATCTTCCAACTATTTCATAATTTAAAATTTTATTTTTAAAAATTTTATCTTTGATATTCTCTCTCATGATCTCAAATATAACTTCTTGAGTATTGTCATTTCATGAATAATTTTAAATTAGTGTGATAATTTTATGAATAATAATTTAAATTATTTTTTACAAATTAAATCATGTAAATAAATAAATAAAAACTGAATGATAAATGTATGGATTAATAAAATATTTATAACTTATCCATGTCAACATTAATTTCTAAAAATAATTTTTTTACATAATACCAAAATTTTTTTATAGATGATAACAATATTATTTTAAATTGTATAAACCACTTTCTTTTATCCCTAAATTTTCTCTCCTATAATTTTATCCATTATCATAACTTTCCAACTTCTTCACCACCTAAAATATGCAATTTCAGTATACACATTAGATTTTCTATCAAATCTTAAATATTAAAAAAATATTATATTTAAAATTAAGTGAGTTATTTTAATTCTTATTTTTTGTCATTTCTCTCCCACTCTCCTATCATCATAACTTCCCACAATTTTTTTATTTTTAGTTTTAAAATTTTAATTACACAAATATACAATCACATTGAGCAGTCATAAAACACACGAGATTTTCTTTTAATCCTAATATCATTCAATTGCTCCATTCTCTCATTAAGACAAGCAGAATTACAAAACTTTCATTATCTCTAGCTTCTCCCTTTGTCACTAATGCCCTCTCACCCCTTGTCTCATCTTTTATGATAATTTTTCATTCCTAATCAACGGTGTGATGGGGTTGTTATGTGTTTATAGGTATCAAAAGAGCAATTCAATTTTTGATATATCACATATTCATGGTAGATACTAGGTAATTGCACATAAGTGTGCATTTTGTAATTATTTTTTATTGAATTTTCCTCCATCATTCTAAATTTGCCTTTCATAAGCAATAGAATTGAAAAAACTTACTATGCTCTATTTTTATGAAGTTATGATTTCTTAGAATTTAATTTTTAATTTTTGGAATATTTATTGTAAATTGTATGATGATTTGTTAATTATTTTACAATTCTACAGGTATATTAAAATTGAATAAAGAGGAAAATATATATTAACATAGTTCTTCATATCAACGCAAAGTAATTTTTCTTCTACTCTTCATATATCTTGACTCTTGGGCATCTCTTTATAAATCTTTTCTTGAAAAGCATACTCATAATAATTTCCTCATAGTGATCCAGATTTCTTAATTTTAAATGATATTTTAATTATTTATGTTTAATTTTAATTTTTATTTGAATTATAAATGTCAAATGAATTAATCAAATTTTAAAATTATATATAATTTGTATTTGAAGATAATGACTCAACCATCAAATTTGTATTTTGATCTTAATGATATTTTATATTGTAATATCTCAGTTACAAGATTTGAAAATATTGATATTTGCATTGAAAAATTAAATTTTCAATATATATTAATGTTTATTTGTTGATATTTATAAATCAAAAAAATTATAGTACTTCAAAATTTTTTTTACCCTCACATGATTTAACAAAAAGACAGAGCCATGCAATTTTTATATTTACCTTATAATCTTAATTTTTCATGGATTATATGTGAGAAAAACATTACAAACTATCTAATTATTAGATAAACCTATAAATGATAAAGAAAAAAATAAAAAATCGCAATATCAGCACAATAAAAATAATAAAGTATATTGTGGTTTATAAAGAAGATACTTCAACAACTGTGGGATATTAGACTTGATCAACTGTGATAGCTTCTCTACTAGAGTGAAAACAAAATAAAATAAAGAAGATTAATAGATGAGTCGAAGAAAAGAGGTGAAAGGTATGGAGAAAGAGGTCACCATGGTTTTGGACATTTAAGGATTCATGATAAATTCTTTAATCTTTAATTAAAAATTTTTAATTTTTAAATTACAAAAATATACCGTGCATTACATGGGTACTATACTAGTTTAAATAATTTTGGAAAAGGTATTTGATTGGTAATTCTAAGATTTGGTTGGATTGTTTTTAAGTTAGTTGTTGGCTGTATATAAAATGATTGTACTGATGAGAAGTTTGAGAAATGAAGATAATAAAATTGGTTAAATATGAGTTGTAATGTTGAATAAATCATGATATAAGTTAATTATTTTCTACTTCAAAATTTGAAAACAGTAGATATTGTTTATATATTTTGGAGATTTGCGTATTAAATTTACCATGACATGCTATACGCGGAAGGTTATCTTCTAAATTTTCTTGGAATGAAGTTTTTTGGATGAGAAATTATATAAAAAGAAATGATAATAGTATTACCTGGGCACTAGGGCTTTAAGGACCAAGCATATTGACAAGATGGCTAGTTGGGATTTAGGAGTAAGTTATATTATATCCATTTGGGTGAACCATTGAGGGGTTTAATGCCAATTAGTTGTGGTTGGAACGTTAGTTTGCTTAATCTCTCTTTATTGTAAAACTTGAATCTATATATTATTTTACAAATTATATTTAGGTGTTTCATATAAATTATAGTTAGGATCTTTGTTCAATTTTCTAAACCTGTTGATAAGATCTAAGCCTAAATTGTTGTTTTGTGGAAAAATGCAGCTGTAAAAACTATCTTAAAGTCCTATTTACAAGAAACGTTTTCAAGAAGCCCTACTAAAATTTATGATTTCTATTATCATAAAAAGCATATAGTAAAAATTTTTATTCTCTATGATAGATGCATTTATGGTTAAAATTAAGCATTTTCGGGGGTAAAGGCTTAAGTGATGTACATTGTGTGTAAATCCCAATCACACTTAAATGTTGGAGCGTAACATTTTAGATTGGAAACTTACCACTTTGTGGTTAATATTGAACTTTACCCCAAATATTTATAACAATTAAAAGATAATTAAAAAAGTATATCACAAAAATATAATAATTAAAAAATTAATATTTTATATTCAAATTTTTGTCATAAAAAAAAGTCACTGACAATTTTTTTTATCAATTATTAAAATAAGCACATAAAATACATCTACGCTAAAATATCTATGAAAGTGAATAATAGTATGAATATAAAAAATTATTTAAATTAATCACGTTATCATGAGATAGAGAATGATTAAAGTTCACTAGATTATATATGAATTGTAATTATTTTATATTGTTGGTTATTAGTTTTTATTTAAAAAATAAAAAATAGAAAGGATCCCAAATGACTATTAACAATATTTTTATGTAAAAATAATTTTAATGATAATTAAAAATATTTGGATAATGCTAGTAAAAAAATATGTGGATAAAATTTATTTTTTTTAAAAGAGAAAATTTAATATTTTGAAAGAGGGTAAAAATTTAATCATTTATTCTTTATTTATTAAATTAGGAGAAAACTGTGAAGAAAATAAAAGTAAAAAATTAACATAACATAATACTTATTTAGAAATAAATTATATATTTAATTATTATCATTTTTAAAATAAAGTAAATCTAAAAATTGGCTAAAATTTTTTATGACAAAATTAATAATGTTTAAAATTTTTTTTATATATTTCATCTATTCTAAATTATAAAATATATTTTTTTAAAAAATTAATATTTTAAAATATAAAACACTTTTAGAAGATTAAAATTTTATTGAATAGGCTTAATCTAATCTTATCATTTCTCTTTTATAATTAATTTTTATTTTTTTAACATATTTATAAAGTATGACCTTTTTCTTTTCAATATAATTAACCATTGTCCTTTCCGTTTTCAATATTCTTACCCCTTCTCTCCATAAAATTGTTGAGGATATTTAATAGAATTTATTATTATTCGAGATTTTATTTAAAAATATTTTATAATTTAAAGTTGAGACTATTTAATTTTTCCATTCTTGATTTGTGCCACATGGGTGACACGCGCCTGGTGTGGCGAGTTTCTCCGCCCGGGGAGCCGAATCCGACTCGTCCCTCTCTCCCCAGCATCTATCTGACTTTGATAAACAACTTCACATTCTCAGAGTTCTCCTTGAGTGTGATTCCTGATTATACTGCAGCTGGGCTGGTTGATGTCAGCAAGAATTGGAACTGTCTTGATTTTGAAAGAGAATCTTTATCGAAGCTGGCATCTGCATCAGATTGTCTACCGATGCTTTACAGAGAAAGGTTTTATCATGCTGGAGACTGATATCATTGCGTGCAAATGAAAATTCTCCATTTTTGTTCCTAGGTTTTTAGTTTTTACTTGGTGTTTCATTCTTGAAAGCATGCTACCACATTTGAAAGGTAAGCCCTTGTGACTGTATAGTACAATCATTTCCTTTAATCATGATTCATTTCTTTGAAGCTTATTGGGTGTAAATTAAATATAATTCGAGTGTTTGCTTATTCACGATGGACTATTCAAACTTAGTTTGGAATATAAAAGTGGTTAATGTGAAAGACGTTTGGTTTTCTGCTCCTTATCTGTTTCACTAGCAGGTGCTGATTAGTTCGGTGAAAAGTGTTTTTTTTTTTTAATTGAATCTTTTTTTTTCCCTCATTTGAGAGACTTAAAGTTCAATTAGCTTCCAATGTGTTATTGTTGATGATTAAAGAAACTAAAATTGCAGCTCAACATAAAGGAACCTGGCATGCTATTAGGTTGTTTTTGTTAGTTATTATATATCATTATCTTCTTTCTACTAGAAGAAAGTTGGTTCTGATTGTTATCGTGGGAGAAACATTAGAAGGGACCCAGGAAGGGTGAATATAAGCAGGAAAAGTTTGCAAGGGTACCATCTAGGTGAGGGGATCCGAGGGTGTGTTCAAAACAAAGGCCGATACTTTATGTGATTGTCTCTGACATGAATATACTCACTAATTTGTATTTGATAATCAGTACCGCTATATGGACCTTTCTCAGTATGTATGTTTGTTTGAGTGCCAGTCATCAGCCATATTTATGTGGTTCAATGTTTCATCTGGGAAGGTGTCAAGGATCACAGAAAAGAGGGATAAGGATTGACTTATCAACTAGGAAGTGTTATCAAGATAGGAGAGGACTTTAAAGCAGACTTATAGAGCCTTGTGCTGGACAGTTTGATTGATATTAAAATTAGTGAGCATTTATAGCTATGGATAGTTTGATATTTTCCCTTTTTATCTTACTTGAGAAGAGATTTTGTATTCATTAATTTTTCATGTATGAATTAATGAAATTGATCTGGTAATTGATCCTTTTTTTTATTTGATGTTTACAGTTGGCGTCTTTGGCAACTAGGACAGCAAACATGAGTAAAGAATCATGTTCTGAAGAAAAAGGCTTGAATCTCTTGCATCAGTTGGAAGACATGCTTGAAAATGACCCACTAATGTAAGTTCAATAATGTAATGTGCCTAATGTGATTGACATAATGGCTACCTTGGTAGTTGGTTCAGAAATTTGAGATATCTTTTGACATTTCATGGGAAATGAATACATTAATGCTAATTCAGCAAGTTGGGAAGATTCCTTCTTTATTGTTTAAATGAAATAAGGAAAAGGAAGTTATTTCTTTCTGCGAGTTTGTTTTGTTTGGTACTAAATTTTAGCAATCATTCTGCACTTTATTTCACCTGCAGATTGTTGAAATGATTTGCATTTAATTACTTGACTCATTTCTAAAGGGTTTATTTTGCTTTTTGCTTCATGATATTTTGGGGAAAAGTATATTTTATCCATAAGGACCTACTGTCTTTAAACATTTGAAAGTTGTGTTGAGGAAGGGTTAAGCTGCTCTGTTGGCTTATCATGTTGGGTCTTGTTCTAAATGATTAAAAAATAAAATGATGCCTCAAGTTTTCCGACAGACATCTTTTATTTTGGCTCTTAGTTTTCATTTTTACATCTTGTTGGTATGACCTTAAGGGACTTCTTTTTTGTTTTTTGTTTTTATTCTTCTTCTTTAAATCTTGTTGGTACGACCTCTTGCACAAATTTGTGGACATGTTTGTGCCTCAATGTTTATGTCTTGCTACTGTTTCTTTATTACTTAATTATCTGTCTTCTGTTCTAGCTTTACATCTGCCTCATGACTGGTTAATGGGAACCATGTTTAGACATACTGAACTCTAGTCATACAAAGTCTCTGGATGATAGAATGATGTCTGAAGATACAACTTTGACTTGAATAACATGCTGTTAGTATTTTACAAGAAAAAAAAGAAACATGCTGTTAGTATATTTTGCCTCTCTTTAATGAGTTTTATCTTTGGCTTCTGGATCTAGTGATGAACTAGGCTACATTCATCCGTCCCAATTCTCCTTGCTTAATGATGAATTGGGCATTTGCTGTGATTCATCTGAAGAAGTTTTGCATCCATCAACAAAAAGGACAGCGGGCTCTGTGGAATCACTTGTTGATACTTCCAACAGAGAGAACTTATATTTTTGGAACAGGGATCATAAACTGGGGATTTCAACCCAAATTCTTCTACAATTATATGGATCTGCTAAACATGCATTTATGTCTGCATTTAAACAATACAAGGCATCTAGTAATCAATCTGACAAAGTTGGCACTTCTTCACATGTCCTTTTATCCTGTGACCATCTTGAAAGTATACTTATGAGACACAGCAGGTCTCTTCTGTTGCTGAGCTGTGACTTTATAACTGCTTGGAATTGCAGGTTCTCTTCTAATCGTCTGTATGCTTTAGTTATATGTTTTTTATTGATATCTGTAAGTCAACATCATAAGTTTGAAGACAACAAAAATTGTTCTATTGCTTTTTTGAAATCGCTTATGGTAATCTTATCATGTGAGTTTTTGGTTGAGTTATCTCTTCACTTTCTTTTCTTTTTTTTTTTCCCTTTCATGGATTTGAGAACGTAATTGACATTGAAATCAGAACTAGGGTAAAATAATGTAAGATGTCACAGATTCACTTTTGTGGCAAACCTCTCAAATTTTTCCTGCACTTGTTACAGAAAGCATGTACTTTCCAAGAAGAATCAATTCTCAATGTTTATGGATGAACTTCACCTTTCAGCACTTGTGCTCTCATATGCACCTAAAAGCGAACAAGCTTGGAGCCATAGGTACAATATATGCTACTTATGGCTTTGTCTCCTTCAGTTAAAGGATACTTGTTAATCATGTTATTGATGGAACCTAAAGAAGTTTTGAAAATTGAGAAGCATTCTAATTCAAAGATGTGTTATTGCCAGGCGGTGGGTAATCAAGTCAATCTCTGCAAACTGTTCAAATTTCAATGAGATTTTAGAGAAAGAATCTGAGCTGGTGGAAAAAATAGCTGAGGTCTTAATTCTGTATAGTAACTACAGTACATATTGTTAAATTGGAAAGGTTTTATTTTCTCGTGATCTTTGTAGGGCTTGTTTAGTCAGGTGTATAAATGTAGTGTTTACTCTCATTTGTCCTTGATCTTTTGCTAGAAGTCTACACAGTGTGGATGATAGAAAATTCTGTAGTCACATTGGCAATTGAATCATTTCACATTTGTCTAAACTTATAGTTGATTTTGATATTATAGTGAAATAGGGATCATAAAGAAGGAATAATTCACAGGACATCTACCGTTTATCATAAAAAAGGGGGAAATTGGAGAAAATAGGATGGAGAGAGTTATGGATGATTTTACTAGGTTTCTGTCATCCACTCACCTGTTATCATTAATGCTTTTATGTGGGATGAACTGTATTTTCTTTAGTTGAATATTCATTTATTCCTTTTAATCCTGTATTTTTCAGAGATCAAAGATGAATTACCGTGCTTGGAATCACCGTTGCTGGTTGGTTTCTCACATGAAAATGGAACAGGTTGCTTTTAGTTAGTGTGTGTATGAGAGTGTGTGTGTGTGTGTGTTGTTCCTTGGGCTCTATGTCTCATATTATGAATTCTAGATCTGGACTCTAGTGCAATAATAGAATGCACTAGCAAGCTGACATGAATGATGTTAAGTGTGGTGTTGAATTTCCGGTAATGAATTAAAAATTGTTTTTCTTTAGGCTCTACATGAATTGGAGAGAACCAGAAATTGGGCTGCACTGCATGTTGCTGATAATTGTTGCTTTCATTATCGTAGAGTAAGTTTTAAGCTTTGATTTACTTGCTTGGACCTGGTACTCAATGGCTCTTGCTTGCTATTATTATTCCTTTCTAGTTTAGGGATGCTGATATTATGTCATGTGATGAGTTTGAGATTTTGCACTTGTCATATTTTATTTTTTCTTCATTGCAGAGGCTATTAGTCAAGATTTTAGAGGACTCAAGTTGTATGAGAGGTGTATCTTCTGGTCACAAGTCTGATATTGACCAGCTTTGGAAGGTAAAGCTTGCCTGTATTCTTATTTAGCTTTAGTCCTTTTTGTGCTTTCTCTGTTGATTATGCAAACTACTAGGGATAGTTGAGTTTCAAAAATAGAAACATTGTAGACACTAGACATTGGAAACTGTCTTAGTGAAATAGTGCAAATGGAGACTTATTTATAAAGGTTTAGCTTCTGCTCTACCTAGATCCATTCTCCAAGCATGGTTGGGGATTCCACAACAATTCTATGCTTGGGCTATGAAATTTATGTTACATCATTGATTATGCATATGTCCTACTTAAAGGTCACTTAGTAATATCTGTAAATAGCATTACTTTTTTAAAAAATAAATATTTTAACCAAGGGGCAAAGAATCCAACTGCTGACTAGCTTTGACAGAGGAAGCACATTTTATTAGGTTGCTGTTGGAAGATATGAGGCCCAAACCTGCTGCCATATGTTTTACTTATGCTATTTTCTATGCTTATTTTGTTATTTCATTGATTATTTATTCTTTTTATTCAGTTTAGATCATATTTGTATTTATCATGTTTATCCTACATATTCTTTGAATTCTCTCGGCTTTACACCTCAAGACCAAAGCCTCTATGTACTCATGTTTTGCTATTCAATAAATATGCACAGAATACAGCCCTGTTTAGACAGTAGCCAACCAGCATACTCTTGCCTTGTAATTAAGAAGATGCATATTATTTCAGTCATGATTGAAATAACTTGATTGCGACAACACTTTACGAGTGAAACTCGCAAAGTGTGCCATTAAAGCTGTGCAAAAATTCTCCAATTCTGTTCGACCTAGTCTGACCCGAGAAAGTTAGGTCTTGTTAAAAACTGTTCCTTTAGGACTGACAAGACCAAAAAGACCAGAGTGTTTCTTCGGATTGGATTGGACAGGAGACTGGACATCTGAATCACTGGGTCTAGTTTGGTCTTATTAAATTTATTTAATATGATTATAATTAATACTAATTATTTATAATAATAAGTTAAGACTATTAATAATTTAATAAGTTTAGTTCCTCACACGGTCGCAAGCTCAAACTAATAATTTAATAATCTGAACCACTTGGACTGTAATTAAAATATTTTTTTTTCCTTGTTGGAAATTATTATGGATTTATTGTGATTATAAGTATTTTTATTATCTTAATTGAGTTTATTAGGTTGAAATGGATTATTGCCTCTCATAGAGGAAAAAAGGGAAAAAAATCTAAGTTAGTACTGGACTAACAAGACTAGTTTCCCAATCTTATGGACCAAGTTTGGTCCTATTAATCTTCAGTTATCACTAGCTAGAACAGACTACGGGTTGCCTAACCTAGTTTTTTTATGAAAGGGACCAGACTTCGGGTTAGGCTGAAGTTCAATCCCGTCTAGCCCTTTGTGCAGCCCTCCCACTAACCAAAGATAAGAAGTTGTATGAAGCACGCTGCAAAAAAGGGAAATGAGGAGTATAATGCAGGAGGCATTTAATATGTTGCCATCTCACGTTCCAGAGTACCTTGGATCCCATGATATAAGATTCCATGATAAGATGCACAAATTTGCTATTACAATTAGAAAGGATGTGATTTGCAAATAATAAAGATTAAATAGTTTTAGTTAGCTAGGGAGTTAGTTGTTAGGATTTTCTATCAAGGGTCTGTATAAGATCCCCGTATAAGTCAGATAATGGATATTGAAAAAGCCAGAAATATTGTTCAGTTTCTCCATATCTCTCTTTGATCTTTCATCTCTTATCTCTCTCTATTTTCTGTTTCTGTTTCTGTTTCTCTCTCGCCTCTCCTCTTCCTATTTCTTCTCTATTCTACTCTGTTTCTCTCTCTTCATCTCCTTCTACCCTAACAGGATGCAAGTGGTATTTATAAAACATGAGAAGGTTAACAGAGATGTGATGTGAATTCCTCCTGGATTTCTTTTGGTATGGTGTGAAATAAGTGGCCTAATGAGTTTTACTATCTTTTTTTCCGTGAAAAGAATTGTAGAAAAATAAAAGGAAAATCAAAAATAAGCTAAAGTGAAATGATGAGGATCTTCAACTTTAAATGATCCCCATCCTGGTATTGTATCAACCTATGACACCCTGATATTTTAGGGTCATAATTCTGGATATCAGTGTATCAAGCGCCTCTGTGGTATTGGAAATTACTATTATTTTATTCTTTTAATCGCCATGTATGAACACTTATGTACTTTTGGTTGACAGGATGAAATTGACTGGAACAGAACATTGATAAAGCGTTATGTCGGAAGAGAGGTATGGGGCCTTTGTATATTATTTATCTGTTATCATTATTATAATTAGTTTATTAAAATGGGTCAGCCAGGGTATTTAGTGACATGCTATACCTGGGGTACTTGCATTTCTGAAATATATAAGTAGCGTCCTGTTATCTTTTGAGATAAGATTTGGTTTATTCTAATATGATGTACGAGTTGAACAATTAATCTGTTACAATAATACTTGGAGGATACTGGAACAAAAGACAAATTTTCATCTATTTTTGCACATGTGACCTCAAAAGGCGGAAGTTCTGTATCCATTTTCTCTGTCATTTCATTTTTTTTGTTGTCCTCTACAAATGAAATCTTTTCATGAATTAATTGTATGAATATGATATATGCTGCCCTGTCTAACAACCGGATGACTTAGGATTGGTCGATTATTATGATTTATTGAAATATATTGATTTTTAAGGTGACAACTGGCATGTTTGAAGCATAATGGTATCGCTAAGAATTGTTGGTGTCTATCTAATTAAATTAATTTGGTGGCTTTTGGGTTTATTGTAGACTTATTCTTCCTTACAAACCTAGTTCTGAGTAAAGTTCCTCTGCTTCCCTGGAGAATTTTTATCCATTCAAGTATTCCTATTGTGTTTGAGTTTTATGGGGCCTTTACCAATTCTATTTTCATACCAAAAATGAATTTATGGTTCCTTTTTTAAAAGAAAAAAATATATTTCATTTCATTTTGTTTCTTTTCTTTTTTGTCTTTTCCCCTTTTTTTGTGAAGCTCTTTGTTTTACTTTTCACTTCACTATTTCAGTAATTTGCTTATAACATGAGGTGCTTCATGTTGCTATTATTGATCAGGCTCTGTGGCTTCATCGTCGGTTTCTTTCCTTATGCTGGATCAACCATTTTCTAGCAGACTCTAGTGACATATCAAATCCTTCGAAGGAGACAGCCAGCAGGTATCATGAATTTGGCAAATTTCTGGAGAATGAATTATGTCTGTTCAAGTCTTGCTCCACTATTGTGGATAATGACTTTGAGGATCTCCAATCACAAGTGAAGCATTCCGCTTGCTATATCCTATGGTTGAAAATGGTAAGTGCATATTTTTCCTTTTTCGTTTGTGCCTTCAATTTGAAACAATTACGTAGTTGGATTTCTTTCTGAAGCTATTTGTCAAATTCCTTTGTGTACTTCAGCAAGTCCCCAAGCCTCTAGAAAATGAGCTCCTAGAGAAACTGATAGAAGTTGATCTGATGAACTTGCTTAATAAGTCATGCCCAGAGAGATCCTCACTGTTCAACTACATTATGAGGTAGATGGAAGCATCCAAGCTTTGTGTGAGGGAGTTAATATCTTTTGAAAAGAAGGGAACACTAGAAGTTATTGTTAATTCCTTCAATGTTCATTTACCTGATGTAATCTACCAAAAATACTTCCTACTAATCATAAGCCATTTAGACGAGAGCATGAGATTGCTGAAAATAGTTCAATCATGCTTAAATGCAGATACAAGAATGTGAGATACCTATTCTGTCTTTGATTTTTAAGTCAAGTTGAAAGCTTCTAATGGCATGTCTTGTTAGACCCAATACTATTTTGTAGAATGTTCTTTTAGTTATATTATCAGAATACTGCAAAAGTTCAACCTATGGTTTTTCACTTTTGCAATTTTTAACATCCAAGTGCCGAAGCAGAAAAGATGAACCCAATGGATGATACATAAGTTTAATATCTTTAGTTAAAAGTTTAAATGGTACTGTTGAACTCTGCAAAATCTGACGAAAAACCAAATAATAGCGAAGACAAATAGTAATATAAGTTCACAATTGAATGTTGAATGCATACAGATAAATCATATAATCAATCCTGTGTGATAATACATCATTAAACTTTCTGGTTGTCACAGGTCTATGTAAAAATAATAATGTAACTGTGTATGAGAAGAAAAGAAATAATAATGTAACATTGGATATTGGGATAGCTAGAAAAGAAAGACAGAATAGCAGACTTTTCATTTATTGGAGCATCGCCTATTATGAGGACATTTTTCCACATAAGTAATAAACAAAGGCTTGGATGATGTAGTGAAGGAACTTGGTCTTTCAGACAGTGTAGTGGCCATTAATAGCTTCAACATCCAAACCCCTTAACTTGGCAAATGATTCCACTTTGCCTTTCAGAGTGTGAAGCTCTCTCAACCTGCAGAGAGAAAAAGATTAACCCAGAAAACAAAAGTGAAAAGAATGAAAAAATGAAGAGAAAATAAAATGAGAATGAAGATTGACCTTGCTATCTCAGCTCTTCTCTTAGCCTCTTCTGCTAATGTGTTTATTTCCCTGAATGTGTGCTTCTCTGCAAATGTCTTTGACTCAGCAGTAGACTGAAGGCCATGCAGGGTTCTCTGCTCAGCAGCCCATGCAGCCTCACGAGCTTCTCTTCCAAAGTCGTTTTTGTTTGTGAATGCAGTCTGTTAAATCACATAAACAACAAGTCATACATATTAACACTGATCATTTTGCATGATTTATAGGTTTATCATGTAGAATCTGGCATAATAAGGGTAAATCATGTTTTACTCCCCTTTGATTTGGCATGAAATTGTTCTGTCTAGTCCTTATTATAAGGACCTTCCCTCTGGTTCTTAATATAAAACTTCTTGCTTGAAGTATTAATTTTTTCCTAAAATGTCTTTTACTTTGATATTCTTTAACTAACTAAACAGCCTCCTCTAACTTATAAACTTTATTGAGGGCAATTTTAAAATTTTTAAAAATGTTAACTAATTTTAGTTGAATTTCTTAATTTATAAAAAATTATTAATAGGTTTTTTTATAATAAGGACCGAAGGGAGTAATTTGTTTTCATGTAATTTGAAGTTTGTGGTTCAGCTCCCGTGTGTTTTTTCTAGGGAAAATAATAAAAACTTCATAAGAAAATTAATTCTAAATTAAGATCTTTTTACAACTTAAGTTTTCAAAAAATTCAACACTCCCATGTTCCAGGACTAAAAATATTTAAAAAATTTTATTTGACATTAATCTTATCATGAGGTCCTTAAAGGTCATTCTCCCTTTTTTCTACTATCATGGGATGTTCTTGTTCTGATTGGAGAGAATGACATCCAAAGATCCAAAAGTTTGAAGTTAGACAGTTAAGGACTGTAAACGCCAAACTGAGATAGAGAACACTAATTTTGGGCCAAAACAAAGGTGAAACGATAAATTTCTTCTATGTTGGAAATACTCATCTGAAAGAAAGTCCTATTCCATTTAAAAGTCGTAAGCAAGAACAAAGTGCCAATAAAGTTTGTGTCAATCCTAATTGAGTAGCTTAAGTTATTCTGATAAATATGTATAAGCCCAAGCGAAAGTCCATATAAAATTTAGCATTCCACACAAGCATGGATATAGTTTGTCTTGGTGAAAATTTGATCATACTTACTCTTTGATTTACGACCAAATTCCAAGCCCTTCCACTTAATGCATAACGGACAGCAAATTTTATAGGATCCAACAATACATAGGTTACAATGTTGTATAACCAGATGACTCCAGTCCACCTCCAACCTATGCTTCTGATTCCACCAACGTTCCAAGTCAGAGTGGCGGCTAAAACTGTTGCAACCTGTGGAGAATAATGTAACGATGATGTTCTATAAATGTTTGTTTGTAATAAAAATATAGCATGTACTCAATCCAAGAATAAGCTTTTGAAAGGAGTAGCTCATTGTGTTTTTCAAGGACAATTACAACCCAAGCTTAAACTTCATTATTGAAGTAATTCCTGATAGAGTATCAGAACCATTTTGATTGAGTGATCAAGAATTAGATTATTGCTACTTCCAGTTAGAACGATAGATCCTGTGTCCTGGGATTCATACATTTCAAAATTTGAAAACACAACAAACAGAAAAAAGTTCAAGTGCGTGAAACTGGAGAGGAAAACTGTAACTGTTCTTGATTAGGAAAACAGGTGGCTTCCAACAAATTTATCCTATATATAAGTTTTCTTTGCAAAGCAATAAAGATTAGGCAGAGTTATAGTAAGCCTTTACACTATCTGCACTCATTCAAGTCTTAAAGTTTTCATAGGAGACAGTATCTTAGGAAATTATGAAAAGGTTGAGAAAAAAAGCAGTACCAGCTGAGCAACAACGAAAGCGAAAACAAGCAAAAGACCAGGTCGTTCGGTGTAAGACCATCCATGAGCGCGAGTCACAAAGATCAATGCTTGACTGATGACACTGACTTGAAGATACACTGCAGATCCCATCTTCTCATTCAGTACCTTGGCGACAGCGTCATCTTTCATGTCACGAAGGTTTGAATTGAAGTTTTCCACATGAAAATGGTTCTGCATCACATTGCTCTATTTAATTAAAGTTCCTTGGAAGACGGGCATAAAATGAGCATGTAGAAAGAAGAGTCTTACATGGAAAAAGTCAGTTTCATAAGCTGCCCAGAAGAATATTACAGTCATTAGAGCCAGATATCCTCCAAGGACAATCCCAGTTGCAAAAATTTCACTGAGCTTCCAACTATCAGGTGCTGGAGAAGGCTTAACTCTGTCTTTAGATATTGTCATGATGGTACCTAGAAAGATGCCAACAAACAAAAATATGCATTACTGTAAGTATTATAGCACATGGTCCTTTTCAACAGCCACATGGTCTCGTGAGGAGATAGAGAGAATAGTAAGATCCACTTGACATGTTGATTTCAGTGCTCTCTCTCTCTCTCTCTCTCTCTCTCTCTCTCTCTCTCACACACACACACACACACCTGTAGAGCCATGCAATTTTTGCTTATAGTAAGATTTAAGATTAAGAAACTGCAACATAGATATAATCTTACCATCATTGAGAATGGCAATTATAAGAACCATGAAGGGAGGGAAGTCAAATTTCCAAAAGCATGTCAGTAACATAAAGCCCAGCTGCAATATGAAATTAATGAAAATCTTAGGCAAAAAAAGAGAAAACAAAGAAGGTTGATGATTTGATCCATTAATACATGCATTCCATATAAGAAAAAAGAAAAGAAAAGCTTACCACGATACGTATAGTGATAGATACAGCATATATCTGCAGCAAAAGAGAAGATGAAAGAAATCAAGATCTGTATGCAACTTAAGATCCTTTCCTTAATCTCCAATTTCATCCTCCATGTTTTACCATGTTCAATGCTTATAAAAGTTGGCATGATAATTTTTAATTGACATGTCACTTGCTTTTTCTGAATTGTCAATGATAAAACCAACTAAAGCACACCCCATTGGCATTAGGTTGTCAACAGCTTTTAAAAAAAAAAAAATTGACATGTCAGACAACAATAACTTTGTGGTCATCAGTAGATTACATTGTGCCTTCTGCAAAAAGGTGAAGGGTGAAGTTGCACCAATGGAAACAAGTAGGATTGAACTGAGTATTTCTTGAAAACATAGGATAACATCAATGGATAGTAGAAGGGCTACCGTGTAGTTTTTCATCCTTTGGAAGATAGCACGGCTAGTTAAGACAGCACTTATGATCACACTCAATCCGGGTTCTGTTAGAACTATGTCAGATGCACTTCGAGCAGCATCAGTGGCATCTGCTACAGCTATACCTATGTCTGCTATCTTCAAGGCAGGAGCGTCATTTACACCATCACCAGTCATCCCACAAATGTGCTTTCTAGCTTGCAACCTCTTCACAATCGCATACTTGTGCTCTGATTGAAACATACATGATCAAAAATATTTCAACAAAACTTTGAAATATACAAAGCCTTAATGTATTAAATATTATTTCACTTACCAGGAAAGACACCAGCAAATCCATCAGCGTTCTCAATGAGCTCATCAACTGGTAGAGACTCGAGTGTTTCACCTTTGTGTTCACCAAGAAGAGATGAAGAAGGATACATGTTAGTGCCCATTCCTAGACGCCTTCCTGTTTCCTTAGCAATTGCAAGTTGATCTCCTGCAGAGGGTTTTCATAAAAAGCATGAGTTAAGGCCAGATTTTTGCACTTGGAGTTCATTATTTTTTCAATCATCTTCCTTTAAAAGAACGTGACAATACCAGAAGTTGATGAATGAAATATATTTCATCACTCTACTATTTAGGGATTATTAAATGTCATTTATTGTGGTTGAAAGTGATGTATAAGATGAATAACCACTTTCATAATTCCCAGTTATGTGGCAAGAATTTGAGTCATTCTAGGGGTCCTCAGTTTTATACAAGAATAGAATCTACTTTAATAACAAGAAGAACTTAGCAGAATAATAATGGCTTCCGAGGCTTTCCTCCTTTGTTTTTTCTGATACAGCTTTCAAGTAAAAGAACAGAAAATGATCATTTTGGTAAAAGCCAAGAAAGTATTTGCATGAAATGTTATTAGTTGTGAATAAAATCTAAAGTTAATGAGATGTACCTGTTATCATTTTAACACTCACGCCAAGATCCAGAGCTCTTCTGATTGTTTCCGCACTATCATGGCGAGGAGGATCAAAAAGTGGAAGAAGGCCAACAAATTCCCAGGGGCCTCCTGCACTTTCTTTAGTTCCTTTAGGTACTTCCTAAACACAAAAGTTTATAACTCATATTTTAGCAGAAAACACATATATACAACATGATAAGTCCTTCGTAATATAAGAGAAAAACCTGCCGGGCTACTGCAAGAGACCGTAGTCCACGTTCTGCAAACTTGTCAATAGTTGCATGAACCTTCTGTGCAATTTCGGCTTTGTTATGTGAAAGGTTGAGAATCTACGTGAAATATGAGAATGGATAAATAACACAGACAAATTTTCCTTCGTTGTATTGCAATCACAATGGTTTGTGACATTCTGTTGTACCTGTTCTGGTGCACCTTTGCTAACTCTCTTCATCTTACCATCAGCATCGATATATGTAAGTGCAGTTCTCTTATCAGTTGGATTGAATGGAAGGAAATGAACTTCTGTTATACCGGCTCTTGCCTTGAAAATTTGAAAAAGAATATAAACTGATTAGCCAAACTCTAATTCTAAACATGTTATTCCAGTTCTTTTTTGAAGGAATTAATGTTATTCTGTCAAGTTGTAAAGAAATGAAGAACTTGTAAGCAACATCATTGAAAGGACCAAAATGCTCAGGAATCGCAACCTTCAATAGTTAGAGTATTTGAACTACTACCTCTTTTGGATCTGATAACATTGCAACAATTGCACCATCAATTGCATCTTGATTCTCTGTCCTTGATGCTCTTGCAGCCATAAGTACAACCATGTCCTTGTCAACGCCTTTGGGAAAAACCTGCCATAGATAGTTCCACGTGAACATTTCTTTATGAATTTATATATACAGAATTCAAAAGTTTCAATTGAAAAGGTAAGATAAATTTTATTCAAATTTCTCAGTACTCTGGCTCCAGTTTTAGGTATTATTTGTTTCTATAACTTCTTGATGGATTCCCCTTGTTACTGTGCAAAGCACTTTGGCACATGAAAATATGCGTTTAGTCTCTCTTATTTAGCTATTTTCTGTTTTCAACTAATTTGATCATCAGATGACTCTGTAGTCTGTACTATGATTTGTAGCTTGTTCTCTCACTAGCATGCTCTGTGCCTGAAAAATTTCTTATTGAGAGAGAATGGGAAGATTCCTAACTTCTAGTCACAAAGGCTGTAATATTATGACAACGACTGCTTCACCTAGGAACAAAGAACAAATGAAGAAAAATAATTCTCAAGTCAAGTTCAATTATATCAAACAAATTCTACTGTAGGACTATAAAGATTCAAACCTCAATCAAACTCTTGTCCACAGAAAGCTTGTTAAGAGTTAGTGTGCCTGTTTTGTCACTGCACAGCACGTCCATTCCAGCCATTTCTTCAATGGCAGTCATTCTCTTGGTTATGGCACCCTGCAAAAGCCAAATACATCATACCTTTCACCACATTACTTCAAACATATCATTCATCAAAAGGTGAATGCATAAAACCTAATCAGCCCTTCAAACCAAAGCAACTTGACATACCTGCTGAGACAATTTGTGTGAACCAATAGCCATTGTGACAGAAAGAACAGTTGGCATTGCAATTGGGATCCCACCGATGAGTAGCACGAGGAGGTTGTCAACTCCAATTCGGTATTTTCTCTTATGAATTCCCCATATCACGATCATTTCGATGAGCATCCCAACGGCAATCGAACAAATGCAGAAGTTCCCAATGGATGTCAGAACCTGAAACAGTTCTTGTGTCAATGAACATAACACCAAGTCCTTGAAAACATCATATAGGCTTAGGTACAGTTTGTCATAAGGTGTTTGCCATTAAGTTCTCTGAAAAAACACTTGACAAGTAATGAAAGTTCTCGAAAGACCTAACTACTTGAAGACAAGCAACAGAAGAACATTCAGTTTCTGTACAAGAACCTTCTGGAAGTGTCCTATATGTGTGGTATTTTCCACAAGATGAGCTGCCTTGCCAAAGAAAGTGTGGACTCCAGTGGCAATAACCACAGCTTCTATTTCTCCTTGCTTGCAAGTTGAGCCAGAATATACTCCATCTCCAGGATTTTTGGTCACTGGAAGTGACTCTCCAGTCAGAGCAGACTGAAATAAGCAAACAAACAGAAAAAGGATTGATTGAAGTTGAACAGAATTGCTTTCAATGGGAAGACACTTGTGTACAATAAAAAAAAAAAAATTGAGCATAAAATGAACACTTTCAAAAGTATCTCCTTTGGGAGAATCAAATTCTTGTTTACTTGGTCAATCTTTAAAGGATCTCCTTCAAGGAGACGAGCATCTGCAGGAATAATGTCACCAAGCTTGATGCTGATTATGTCGCCAGGAACCAACACTGAGGCATCTTCTTCACTCCATTTTCCATCACGCAGTACCTGTAAATATGAGATTTTGAGCCAAAAGAAAATCATTGAGTATCTTATGGGTACGTAATTGGGACTAGAATCCTAATACAAAACCTAGCTATTGACGTGTGAAACCAACTCACTTAAATACAGCGTCCCATACTATCAAGACGCCATCAATATCATTTAATCAATCATGAAGATAGTGTAATTAAGCTGTTGAATGATGATAGATTCATGAAGGGAGAAGAAAAATTACCTTAGCTTTAGGGGCCAGACGAGCCATAAGTGCAGCAGCTGCATTTCCAGCATTGTTTTCTTCCATGAAGCTTATGGTAGAATTGATGAGAAGCAACATGACTATGCCAGCAAAATCGTGATAATCTCCACGCTCGCCCTACAGAATTAAGGCACATTTTGAGATACGCAATACTAGAGAATGAACTGATACAAAGTAAAAAGTCTTGATAAAAGAGCACCTAAAAAAAACAAACAATTAATACCAATCCAATTAACTTTTCTCTCACGTAAATAAGTTTTACATTTACTCAAAAGTAAAGTACTGAAAATTAGACGGTCGTTGAATTGGTCAAAGTGCACTAATTTAAAGATTAATGATTAAAATTGTAGTTGAACTATAGTTAAATCAATCATGAACAAAGCATTTCAATGAACTAGGTACTAATTTAAAAATTACCAGTTCAATTAGCCGGTTTGGCCTAATTTTCAATACCACCCATTGTTGGCCAAATGTTATCAAAATAACATTTTTACTTAAAAAAAAAAATGGCTTGCTTCCTCTGTCGCAACTTTCTTGAACATGCACTATCTGATACAGGATGACTCTTTTGGTAGTATTTAACTAATTGGGTTGATGTAATAAGTACACCTTAAAAAAAAATGAAACTTGAATCTTCTATATAGTCTTTGTATGGAATAGTTTACTAAAAAGATAAGATAAATATGATTTTGAGACTCACGTGCTAGGTGAGTCTCATCTCATCACTCTTTTTATCTCTCTCATCAATTGATCATACAGTGATTAAAGAAAACCAGACAAGCTTTTCTATGTGTTGCACAGATGCTAAAATAAACCAAACTATTATATAGCTCATTATATATTGATATAGAATCAAAAAAATTCCCAACAAAACATTTTTGTTAAAAAAAAATCTCTCATTATATTTAATGGCTCTTTTTTTTTGAAAATCATATTTAATAGCTGTAATTCTTATAATTTACTTAAATTATTGCCTCATGAATCACTCATTACTTTTTAAGAGAATTAACGAAAGATTTGAAACAGAGAAGGAAAAATATTGAAGAAAGTAGATTTACCCCTCCGTGTGCCATAGCAATGGACATAAGAGCAGCAGCTTCCATCACCCAAGACAATGGATTCCACATGAACCCCAAAAATTTCAGTATTTTACTTTCCTGTAACAGCATTCAAAATTATGAAAATAAATTTAAAAAATTATTACCAGAATTTTATTAATCAATTATGACATGGGTTTAAGAAAGTAAATGTAAAATCCATTTATTTAGTTCCAAATTTATTTACTTAATTAATTACCTTCTTTTCTTCTAGCTTATTATATCCAAACATGTCCAGCCTTTGCTGTACTTCCTCAGAGCTCAAACCGTGTTTTGAGCATTTGAGATGCTGAAGCACTTCCTCAATAGGAATATTCTCCTGCAATATTAATTACCCATAATAAATTTAATAAATATTACATTAATAAAAGACCATATTCCACCCTTCCAAAATAAAATTTAATTTGTATAGTTATTTAATTAGCCATGTGGGACGAGCTCAAATATAAGGATGGGATGAAATATATGTTATCAAGAACTCAAACCCTTTTAATGTTGTAATAAAAAATTTATATTTGAAAATTTATATATAATCTTAAGAAATTTTAGTATTAGACTGTAGCGAAGGGGTGGGTTCAACATCCTATTTTTCTCTTTAATTACCCAAAAATACCGAGAATTAAATTCGTTAAACTTCTATTGTTAAAGTCTATTCATGCCAACAAATGCAGAATCACATCAAACCTAAACCATCTAACATAATATTAAAAAAAACTAAGAAATAATTGTGAACAATAAAGTTAAAAATGTTTTTTATCTCAAATTAAAAATAATTCTAACAGATATATATATATATATATATTATAAGAAATAAGGGGAAAAAAAAAACATACCAGATCAATAGCTTCCTTCATAATAGCATCAAGTGCAACTGATTTCTCTTCTTCCATCTTTCTCTTGTGATTATTTTAACTGATCTCCTTCTAAATCCCTTCCCAGCAACACAAACAGCAAATTATTAAATTTGAACAAGCAAATAAATTTAATTTAATTTAATTTCATTTAACCCCAAAATGACAAACACATAATTATATACTTCTTAGCTAATGTCCTAAAAACTTACCTTAATTAACTTAATAAGTTTGATGAACTTCAATGACTCAAAACTCTCTCTCTCTCTCTCTCTCTCTCTCTCTCTCTAGCCTCAAGAACAAGCAAGAAGCTCTGAAGGAAACAATGATAATGAAACGATAGAAGCAAGGACATGTATGTATATACAAACGTGTATATATAGATATGAATATTCTTCCAATTAATGCGAGGCAAAGCAAAACATTGTTCATAGAAAACAAGGAGACAATAAGAAGATTATTAAAAAGGTTGAAAAGTGAGGCAGATAATATAATGCCATATGGGAGAATCCGCTATGTGGTTATGTTTTGTGAGAGCAATTACATAGTAATTAAAAGCTGTTTGTTTATGTATTAATTCATATGCCTGCTAACTAATTTGTTTTTTTGCCGCCATATCTCTTGCATCCTTGGATTCAACGTCTACTCCTTCTAAATTTGGTCACAAACTTTACTATAATATTTATATTTATATTTATTGTTTCCCCATTGATCTTGTTCTTCCGATTAGGTCTCCAGCTTATTCATTGTACGGAGCCCGATGATAAAGTTGTACGATTCATGACCTGTAAATTAAAAAATAAGGTTAAATTTCTAGTGCATTGTGTGTGTGTGTGTAAATTAATATTTTATTGATGCTAATGAGTTGCTTAATTTTCAGGGATCTATATGTTTGATCTAGATAAAATCATATTATTTTCACATTCTTCTTGTTTTTTCCAAGTTAGATGCTCTATTTATTATGAGCATCAAGTAGAAATTTTTTGGTAAAAAGATCTTTACGCATTATATACCAGCATGTTTTAAAGTTATTATTATTGTTATTACTACGCAGAACACTTATTTCTTTGTTGATCTTTGTGAAATCTGTATTATAATTACGTTTCTTTGTTAAAATAATAACATATAATACGTTTAACTACCTTGATTCATATTCTTTTAAAATTTAAAAAAAGGTTAAAATATTATTTTGTCTTCAAAATTAAAAGCTTCTAGGACCCTAAATTGGTACAATATTTATCTTTAACATTTAAAAATAATACAATATTTTGCCCTACAGTTAACAAAAGTTAACTTTTATTATTAGTTGACTATAAAATTACATAAAAGGACATCAAAATGAAAAAAAAAAGACCCAAAAATTATAAATATGTACCATATAAAAAATTAATACCAATTAATTTGTCTAAATTGCAAATAAATACCAAAAACACAGATGTTATTTTTTCCATGTAAAAGACAAAAATTCATTTTTTGTCTAAGCACTCAAGCTGGCTATCAGGTGATTATTGAACAACTATTATATATTGATACCAATACCGGCATGTAATTAAAATAATATCCTTCTTTTATTAATATCTTATTAAAATATTAATACTTTAATATTTAATTTTTTAAATATTATTATTATTTATAATATATTTGTCTCTTCGTATTTTTTGTAATTTAAAAAATTTAATTGACATTACTTTTTTTTATAAGGCACTTCTTTGCAATTTTATTAGTCCTTTTTTATAATTTTTAAGATATTTTTTTAAATTTTTTATCAATTAACTGTCAAAGTTAGCATTTATTAAGACTATACTGTTAAGACTTATATCCTTGTAATTTAAAAAATATCAAATAATTGATTATTATTTTTTAATAGAAATGGAATCTAGAAGTGTACGAATATATCCAAATTTTAGTGGAATCTAAGATTGATAGATCGAGCATATATTATGTGTCTAGAATTAGCCAACCTTTTCGAAAATACCACATATAGACATTAAATAAACCATCAATATTCAATGCAATCAATAAAATAAATCTGCACGTGAGATCAGAATTATATAATTATTGAGGTAGTTTCACAGAATATTCATTAATCATTGCGTATAAACTTAGAAACAACAATAAATAAAATAAAATAAAATGGAGAAGGTATTGATGGTGGTTTAGAACTTCCACTTTGTCCGAAATCATATGCTCTTCCTTGTTGATTTGCTTAATGTATTTCTCTCTCTTTTGTTTTTTTAAGGTATATTCTCCCCACTTTCTGTTCGAATCATTGAGTTAATAATTGAATCAAATTTTTAATTTATTTTTTTAAGAGTGATGATAAATTTTTTAAATTAATTTTGATTTATTATTGTCAAAGATTAGATTTATGAGTTGTATATAAAGCTTTGATGACATTTTCATTTCATGTTCAGAATTCAGAATACCAGGCAGATTTTACACTGAGTTTTAACTTGGGAGTATTTTTAATCAAGTGTATCTTCAATTAACAGCAGAAATTAGTATATGAGAATCACTGCCGCACGTGAACTTGAATTTGTTGAAAATGATTTTTAATTTTAATTTTGAAAAAATATGATTAAACTTAAAGATATGGATTGACTGAGCATATGATTCCTTTTAAGATATGAATGAGGGTAACAACCAATTTAAGCAAGTTTGAAACAAATGACTTTTCTATAAGGATTGAAATATATGAGAGATCATCTTTAAGTCTTCATTTATTTCACCTAATTTTAAATGTTTTGATTGGATATATTTAAGAGGAAATTTTTAAATGTATGCTTTTTGCAAATGATATAATTTTATTGTGGAGACAAGAGAAGAGTTTAACTGTAAAATTTAATTTAGGATAAGGACCTTAGATTCAAACAGTTTTTGTCTGAGTAGGAATAAGATATTTGCATTGTAATATTAATAAAATATCTCTATTCAAAAAAATATTAATAAAATATCAGTCAGTAGTATTTCAGAAGTGAAATTGAGAGATCAGATTATATCTCAAGTGAAAAAGTTTAAATATTTGAGAGTTATTATTCAACATAATGGAGAAATTGATGGTGTAAAACCTCAGTCCACTAAACCTAATTAACCAATAAAACTCATGTCAAAGGATTACTCAAAAGGTGATTACCAAGCTTTAGTTCTAATTCAAGGGATCCAAAGTTTTCTAAATGACAATAAGTTTAAAACAATCAAATCCTTTATATTAGAGTAAAAATAAGTTAAGGAAGCATGAGATACCTCAAAGGAGTGAAAGAAATCGAAAACAAGTGAAAAACGACTCTTATAATATGTGACAGAGTAGTGTGTTGCAGCTCGTGCACGCTGTGCCGTGGTGTGTTCGTCTCTGTGCCATGTGCCACGGTGTGTTGCACGAAAATTCAACTAATTCAGCTGTCATTTGATAGCAGAATCGGAAAACTTCCGACACGCCCCTATTCTTCGTCCGACATTTGAATGACGTGATTTAGGTATCTATGAAAAGCTCTTTACATGAACTACCTAATGGCATGGGTTTCACTTCCAAAATAAATTATACTAGAAAGTTGGACATCCAAATGTATTTTAACTACTTTTCACAATTTTCACACAAAATGGGTGTTTAAAACCCTTAACATGTGTCAAAAGCCTTTTCTAACATCTGGACTATATCCATTGGATCTAAAACTACCAATACAACATATCACAAGCACTAAAACAACAGAACAACAAAGTTTCACTCCTCAACCCTATTTTAACAAAAACAGAGGGGGAGGTAAATTGTCATTACTTTGCATCCAAATTAATCTAAACATGTTTAAATCATCATTTCTACACTTGCACTAGTATTTTTGGCCTTATAAACATATATATATATTTCAACATACACAAATACTCAAAGCCTAAAATACAAATCTAACATTTGCAATAACAAAATAGTGTAATTGTGATGACAGGCATTTTAGAATTGACAAATCATATACTATTACACAAATAAATCTAAACTAGAGGTATATAGTAGGAATATGCTAATTTCTAACCTCATGAATCCTCTCCCTTTTAGCACCAAAGCTAGAACTTGAAAAGTGTTAAATAAAAGCGTGAGTCTAGCCACTTAGTAATCAGGATAAAACCTACCTTATGCAGTTATATATCAATTATAAGACAAGCACATGCATAAGAAACCAAGTAAGTAGAACATGCTCACACATATCATAATTTGTCTTTGATCATTTAATAACATCCTTGTTTCACAAATACTAGGTACATTGTTATCATATTTTTAGATATGTGACATGTCCCCTCATTTACACGACTTGCCACAACTCAACACATGTGACACATCATATATTTACTTAAGCAATGATCAATCAACCTTATAACCTCCTTATTTCCTCATATTGAAACCGTGGGTTATTACATTGAATAAGGCTTCGTTCGTGTGACTAGACTACTTATGCTT